TTGGAAATCCAAATTTTGGGAGTCGTTTAACTAAGGCCCTAGAATTAATACACTTAATACATGCACTGATCACAATAATGACTTCATTATTAGGGGATCAGTTCAAGTGCACACATCAAGAGCAATTAGTAAATTGATCCACTAGTACACAACTATGATGTCACTTAATGATCATGACAAATAATAATGATCAGTTATTCAATTGATGTGCTGATTCCCCTGGCCAAAGATTCCTTGGTTCTGAGCACTCATTCTTTCCATCCTTCAATATTCTGGAACATGTAATCCATGCCAACTTCACTGATTAATCTCCAGAATATTCAGACACCAGTTCCACCAGTTAACATTTATATTGATACATTACAGGTAACCAACATAAATCTAGAATATATTTATTGTTCTTAAGCTTCAGTATACAACTTAACTCACCCACAGTATTCATAGCCTTGCTTTATATTCCTCCTAAAATACCTATTCAAATTCAACAAATTTTGTTAAAGCTTAATAAGTATTGTCAACCCATTCCCCTTTGGTAATAACTAACACCAGGAAAAATCTGTGCTCACTAGATTTCAACTGACATCATGTATCATCAATTGCTGCTCCCATGTAGCTCCAAATATGTTGTGACCCAACTACAATAGCCCCTAATGGAGATGAGACAGAGTTGAGCAGGATATTCAATGGGTAGTACACTGGAGTTAGCTGAATTTCACTTGTCATCAAGTGTTCATTGCTTTTTCCTGGTGTAATCCCAGGTAAGTCTTAGTACCCTGGATGCCTATTAAATCAAATTTCAAAAACCAAAAGAAGTCAAAGTTTGAAAAGAATTCATAAATCAATGAGTTTGAGGGGAGCTGGAATCAACGCTGGGCCAGCTACGCTAACCGTAGCGTTAGCGTGGCGTAGCGCAGCGGAAATGCGCTACTTTGTAGTGTAGCGTTAGCGAAAAATCCACCTTTCTGTGCTAACGCTACGCTGTGGTATGTCCATACCTTTCCATGTACCCTCATTTTTCACAGCATTTTACATATATTCTTCCCATTATTATTTCATATTCAGACTCTACACATTATTTCACCCCTAGTCACCTCTTACAGCTTTTCAGTATCTCTTGTAGTTCTCTAGTTATCATCCCCTCAGTGTATTCATAGTTACAGAACAGTACATTACTTTATACATACAGTACATATACATTACACATTATATAGTTACAGTCTCTATGTAGAATCACTCATTCATCATGGTACATCACCATTACTACATACTACACTACATATTCAGCATAACCATAATTACATACATCAATCAGGATAACCTTAACTACATTACATCATGTACATATTTCCTTTCACACTGCTTTGACTTTCCATACCTGATTAACACTTGTATACACAGAACATCTGTCACTTAGCTACATTATTTCTCATCACTCATCACTGTTCAAGACTTACATTACCCATAGCCAGGATTTCCCCAGCCATGGTGCTTTACTGTTGTATGTACATGTTGTACACTTATATACTCTTTCTTCCCTCTCATGTATTTTCCCCCTTATGCTATGTACCTTGCCTGAATTATCTTCTAACCATAGTCTTAGAAATCAGAAATACTAGTATCACCCTTATATCTTTACCAGATATCATTGCCAGTTATACTTGCCAGTTATACATCCCCCCTTGCCAGTTATAAATCCTCATTTGCCAGATTATCCCCTTTTCCAGTGTCATTCCTCATTGCCAGTGTTACACCCTTACCAGTATTATCCCATCACACCTCATTTCTCCTCCCCCTCACACCTCTGTAGGTACTACATACACAAGCTCATCAGTAATAGTAGTCTAAGATAAAGTAGAAATCAGCCACACCTCTATTCTTCTTTTTCTTAGTGTTACACTCTTCCCATTAGCATTGTACAGGAGGGCAGCCTCATCAGCACCTGTAGTCTCAACTTACATTAGTACTAGTGTAGTTGTCTATATCCCCTCCAAGCTCTATCTCCCTGGTTGAGTAGTTCCACAACGCGCAAAGGGCACAAAAGTGTGTTAGCTGCTAGCGTAGCGTTAGCGCAGAAAGTAGGAATTGCGCTAGCGCTACGCGCTCAGGGCACAAAAAAGTGCCCGCTACGCCGCGCTACAGGGCTTCTTAGGGGGTTTTTTGCCTTTTTTGCCGCTAAAAGCGCTGTAGCGCAGCGTAGTGGCTGTAGCGATACGCTAACACTACCCAAAAACATGCCGCCTGTTAGCGGGGCTACAGCGTAGCGTAGCGTAGCGGCACACTAACACTACAGAAAAAAGGGCGGGTTTTAGCGCCGCTACACTAACGCTAAGTGGCCCTTTAGCGTAGCGTAGCATAGCGGCCCAGCGTTGCTGGAATCACTTCATTTACTTCTATCCTGGCTAATTAGAAGAATTCAGAAATTTGAAATTTTGGTGGCTCAGAATTCAAATATTACCACTTGGATTTTTCAGTATAGACCAATTTGAATTTAACAAGCATGAGACTATACTTATGAAAATGAATTCAAAATATCAGAGGAAACTTCAACTGGTAAAGAGTCAATCTCTCTAGCTATTGAGGGGTGATATTTTTCAAACATTTCCCATTTTGCTTTCAAACACAACAATTTAAATAATTCCTCCTGTTGTTGTTTAATTTAATATTGTCAGAATTTCATGTTATTCTTTGACTGAAATTCATCAACAGGACTTACCAATGTTTGTGGGAAGCTCCCCAAGGCCATTTTGTTATATTCCCTAACTAAGGACATTTTCAGAGCTTCTCCTTGGATGGATACTAGTTCATATATTGGAAGGGATTCATCCACTTCCCTGCAAATTGGACATGTATATTTCTCTTCTGTCCATGGTGATATGCAAGCTGTATGAAAAGAGTGTCCACAACCTTTCCATTTCTTTAGATTATCCTCCAATTTTAAATCATTAAGACATACTGCACATTCATTTATCGGTGGCTGCTGGAACTATTACGTCCAACGTGAATACAAAAAAAACATCTTTCAGTCTGCTGCACAATCTAAAGAAACAACACATCCTGTTCTTTCAAAAAGTTAGCACCCACATTTTGATTTTCAATGGTTGGGGTAAAAGTTGAGTCCTGACCAATGCTACAAACTTTGTCTACATTGGCCACCTGATTCTGAAAAATACACAACCAACATGAAAGAACATAATGTTATTGTTTTTGACTTCTTGGATGCTCTCAAGAAATGACCTCACTCACTGAACTTTGTGGGTGGTCATGCACCACTCTTAATTCAATAGCTGGAGGAGAATTGCCTTGCTTTTTTGTGCCAAAATTGAATGGTTTAAAACATTGGCCTAATCTTGATCTGCATGATTTTCTGAAATTGCTGAAATCCATGAGAAAGCCTTGGAGATGGACTGGAGGAGCAGTCATCAATAATGGTGCTTGGAGAAGCTTTCAAGGAATGAGTGAAGATTAAATTCAATACTCTGAAGTTCCTAAATTAAAGAATAGATAGACCTTACCACAAGAAGTCTGAATCTGTGAACCATCGAGGTGGTAGAATTTTTGAAGATAGAAATTGATTGAATTTGTTAGTAGACACAAACAGAATAGGAAGCTGCTTTGTCTTCAAAGTTGAAGCAAGCTCTCCCCTTTTCCGACACTCATACTGAATACATTCAAAGAATCAATTTGAGTGTATGTGATCCCAGGTGAGCTTACCCTGATTGGAACTCATAACACCGAACCTACCCCACCTGTATCATCATGACCTGCCGATAAAATATGATTGGCCAATTGACTAAATGTGTCTCTGATTCAGTGAAACTACCTCATGATTAATACAGATTTAGTGGGACTGATGCTCACTGTGGCCGGATGATCTTTGACCAAGTAATATTTGGCTGGGTAATCTTTCTGGCTCATGTTTATGCAGCTTCTTCCGGTGGAAGTTTCTCAGTCGTGCAGAGTGAACTTTTTTCCATTAAATCATAATGTTCAATTGGTAATTTGGTGTCACCTTTTTCATTTGGGGCTTTTTCCGGTTTCAAAGCAAATTCTTGTTGGATAATTTCCTGGTATTGTTAGCGGGAAAGCATCCGTTCCAAGGTGTCATTTGAAATCAATAAAAACACATCCCTCTAAGTCTACTGTTTTACCGATAAGCCTTATCCCTTGGCCTACATTTTTCACCGACTCAAACTCATGGGAGCTTGTCCGCTGAGAACAAGGCCTGATGATCGGCAAGAATGATATCAACGCATGGCAGAATTTTCTTCAATACACAAAGATTTTGTTGACTTTGTTTGTACGAGGCCTGTCAGAGGTTCTCGAGCATGCTTGCTCAGCTGGAATCAGAAAAGAAATGCTAAAATGGTTGCCGTTATGTTGATGAGCGGCTTGCCAAAGGAGTGTAATCTGCCAGAAACATGATCCCTATCTGGGTTGACCTGGTTGGTGACGTCTGAAAAATCATCGATTCACAAAATACTTCCGCCAAGTTGAGGAAGCTTCGCATCCAAAGACTCAAGAGATCCCTAAACATATTTATGAAGTTAACCGTACCTGGAATAAGGCGACTCGCCTTCCCAGTACGCACTATTGGCGCGGATGTGGATGCCAACAAGGCGTGAACCTGATAATAGAGTTCATCACGAACTCACCACGTTTTGATTTCTTATGACCCTCATCTTTTTGACCTGGTTATTTCTCTAATTATATCCTTCTTATTTTCTTCTCTCAAAATTTATCCAAACTACCGCTTACTTTATCATTCACTTTCTACCTATTAGTCAGTTAGACCCATTTGTGTAAGCATTTTCTAAACGACAACATACATTCATAGTGTGCAATGCTAATAGGGAAATCACACTTTTAAGAAAAAGGCGTGTACGACTGCACGCCCGTCGGTGTAGGCCCCCACCCCGAGGCTTGCATTTACAAAGTGGGGCTTATAGTAAAAGCAATATGTACGATGACATGATGGCAATGACAAAAAAAGAGCCACCCGTGGAATCATGATGCAGCTGATATAGCACCAACTCAACGATCGAAGAAGAACCAGCAAGCAAGAGCTTATTCATAACCATCTCTCCCCTTGGACCTTGGCTCCACTTTCCATCCTTGACCAAATCAGACTGGAAGTTATCTCAAGCACGCAGAACCTTAAGAAATTCACACTTACCCCCAAGGCCTACGTAGTTACTTCCTACTTGCTCGGATACCATTAATTCATTATTTCTTGAGAAGTACATATTGATCCAGGTGCGATAAATTGTTTTGAAGAATCCAACCCAGAGCCTCCACATCTAAACTCACATCTCCTTTCGACACCTGTGACTCATGATAAATAGATTGAATAATTTTGCTACAAGATTGCTACGCTCTAAAACTAAAACCTGATCTCGCATTCGCTAATCGACGCTTGGATTGCCATTTTCCGTTCCAAATTATCCTCAGAAAGTACGTGCTGCCTCTGTGATCTTCCTGAGCCGCGATATTTTCTGCAAGTTTATAGGCATATGCCTCTTACGTTAGATCTTTCTTAGTTTTTCCGCGGTCGGAGAACTACGGCACCTTCCGTCCATATCCGAGACCCTGACAGGGAGGTGGGAAATACATAAGTAGAAGGAACCCTTCGAGCATCGAACAACTAAACCTCCAAATCAGAACTTCCAGCTCCTTGTCAATCCCATCGCAACCTCCATGATGGAGGAATATATACAAACTCAACAATATGAAGAACCATGTGATCGATGTCTCAGTCAAAGATTGTATTGTGTTCAATCGACTGCCAAACGAGGTGACCGGGGAAAATGCGAACATTGCCGGTGGGCCCGAGCTAATTGTAACGCGACGAGATTGAATAAGTCAGCGGCTCGATGGAAGCCAGGACTCTTATGGTCAAATACACTCTTGAAGGAAGTTCAAAGCGAGATTCCATATTCGTCCGACAATCAACCGAATCCAAGTAAGGGATCAATTTTTGATGAGGGCAGGAAACGAGAGACTGATCAAAGATTTTTTATGATTGGATCCACATTCAGAAAAGGAAATGGATTCAGAAGAGGATCGCGAGACGATGCCAGATGAACCAGCCGGCCCTTCAAAGAAGAAAAACTTGCGTCCGAGTCCGCCTCCAGAGACAAGCCCAAAACGAAAACGAATGATCTCGGAAAGTGAGGAAAGTGAGGAAGAAGGTGGATCATCCATAGAGAATCAGAAGATCGCGAAGAAGTCGAGAAGGAAGACGTACGCGTCGGGGAGCTCGAAAAAACTGCCAGACACGGAAGTTGATCGCGAAGAAGGTGGATCGTTCACCAAAAAGCGGAAGACGAAGACATCAAGCAGAAGAAAGACGTGTGCGACGGAGCTCTCGAAGGAAGTGCCTGAGCCTGGGGCTGATCACGGATTATCAGGCAACGTAAGTGCGACTCAAGTAGACGATACGAATCCGGGGAAGGACAAAGGAAAGGAAAGCGCATCGACAAACACCAATGAGACGCCAAGACAGGATTCAGAGCAGCCATCAGAAAATCAAAATCCAAACGGAACGCCGGCGGCCAAAGATACTTATGAAGATTGGTTGACTCCAGATAAGGAGGTGAGAGAAGGAAGTTGGATAAGCGAAACTGATAGGTCAATGGAAAAAAAGTTGGAGAAAGTTAAGGAAGTGGAGGAGACTTTGAACAGATTAGAAATCGAATTAAAACAAGGAGTAAGAGAAATCTCAAGGTTGGTTGGTAAACAGGAAAAAGAAAAAATGAAAGAAGAGGTGCGGAAGATAAAAGAAAGTTTGGAAAAGAGTAAAGTAGACTTAACTGCTGTCATCACTAAATAGAAATATTATGAATAACAAAGATTTAGATCAAAATCTGTATTGTGGTTACTTTTTACCTTGGACTAGCAAGACAAACATAAAAAAAGACATGAGAGAAGGTAAATGTATTTTTTTTCCCAAAAACCAGAATCCTTCTCAAGATTTGGTTATTTATGAATTGGGTCAATGTTAAGTAAGGGTTGGCTGTCAGTGGTATGACAAACAGGTCATGTAGGTGCTGAGGGGAATTTTGGCAGTTCTGGGAGTGTTCCCTTAGCTGGAAAGGATCATTCCCACATCTCACTTCCTATTATACAAAAAGGTTGGTCTGAATCAATTCAATAATTTTGCAAACACTCAAGTAGCTTGTGTATTTTAATCTCTTTCTCTGAAATCCTGATCCCATTACATGTTGCTAAAACCATTCAAGAAAAGGGTCATTTTCACTATTATTATTTGAATTTCTTGATAACAGAGAACTTCCTGTGGTATACATCAAAGCCAAATTTAGTATTGATGAGGAAGAAAATAAATGAAGTATGAGAGAACCAGCAGATTATCTGAAAATAATTAATGTGTGTCTTGTTCAGTTATCAAGGGTTCCTTCTGTTTAACTCTTGCAGTGCAGCTGATAAAGAACTAATTCTTTGCCTTACTGCATCCTATTGAAACAAATTTCAGCACATCTTGATCCTTCTCTGATAGGAATGAATATGCATGGAAAGAAATGACCAACCTTTAATTCTTCTGGAAGATGTAAGAGATCAATTCTGGCAGTGTGAATAGCTTCCAAAAGTGTTCCTCTTAACACAGGAATCGGAACCACTGGCTGTTGTTGTTGAGTGTGGTAGCTAGACAGTCTTGTATCCACATTGCGGCAAATGGGACATGTGGGGGCCTCTTCTTTCCATCTAGATGTACAATCTTGACAGAAATTGTGGTTGCAACCTTCCCAGGTTTCAATATTGGAATCCTCCAAATCCTGAAAACATATTGAACAGCTACCACCTTGCTGCTAGAACCATCAGTTCAGGACATAAAATATACATCAAACCAATTTGTAAGCTTCTCCTATACTTTAATCCATTTCTATTACTCATCTGAAATCTTCACTCACTATTCCTCTTGGGTTGGAAGAGGGTCTAGTTGGGTTTGAATAGTGTCTAAGATTCATAGGATTTGCAGCAAGGAATATTGCTGCTTGAGCAATCTTTGAAGAGGCAAGTTATGGTCAATCTTGGTACTCTGACAGAACAAGTAGAAAAAGAATATCTTACCACAATCAGGATCCAGATGTTCACCATAGGTAATTAATTTTTGGGAGAGAGATGGAAATGCTGAATTTCTTCTTTCACCCCAGAGCCCAGAGGAAAATGCCAAGATTCTCAAGCTCAGACTTGCAGGAGGATTTACAAGGCAAAGAATGAAAAAAATTGAAGTATTGAACTGGACACACCTTGAGGAAACAGATCCTTGATCCAGCCTTATACAAAATCATTGATCAAACAGATAAAAGCACATTAAGAATGTACATTGTATCCTGCAGAAGTTCTGCAGGATACACCCAGAACTATGTTTCTGGTCCAGTATAACAACCATGGGTTTGCCAAGCTTATTTGATAAAATTTGGATCAGTTGAAAAAATGGCTGAGATGGTATCTTAACACGGTTTCTCTCCCCATTTCTCAAGAAGATCTGCAAGGAAAACTGAACAGAAACTACCCCAAATCTATAGTATCATTAAGACCACATATTTACCGAATCAAGGTCTACATACCAATTTTACTGAGATCTGACATATCATCACAAACTAAGACTTGCGGACTTGGCTGTAACAAACCACTCGACGCGACTATTCATCGCTCACACGAGGGTCTGTTGCGTCTGGCTGGTTGAGACCTGCTTCCTTGGGTATCAGCCGTCAAAATGAGAGTGAGGATGGCCGAGTCGATGAAGCAGCTTGATTATTTTGCAAAAGTGGTGGGTTATTGTGATTGGAGATGATTACGTAAGGGTATCGATCTCCCTGGCTTAAGTAATCTCTCCGCTTGAACCTACTCGCCGAGTTCCACGCACCTTCTTCATCATGACCAGCTCAGCCACGCACGACAACAACCAACACCAGCATCACCACCATCATCATCATGGAGCAGGCGCTGACGAGGAAGAACAGGAGGCCTTGTTCAATGCTCTTACTGGGAGCTCTGATAAAGGGAGCAGGGTCACCCTGATGGGACTTGCTGCCAACGTAAGCTCCTTAATAGTTCTTTTCTCTAAAACGACCGATTACATGTGATCTTTTGACTGATATTTGAATTGTACAATTTTCTGCACGTTTTTTTTTTTCTGATAGATTGCGTTGACAGCCGTGAAGGGTATTGCGGGTTATCTGCTGGCTTCAGCGTCCTTGATCGCTGATGCGGGCCACAGTCTGTCGGATTTACTCGGCGATTTAATCACCCTATTTGCCTGGAATTGGTCCCGAAAACCTGCGGATAAAGACTATCCTTTCGGCCATGGTCAGTCCTCATGATGCCCCTTCCCCAACAAAAAAAACGAGTCTAAAGCTCACCACGATTCATGGTTTTTACGTGTGTAGGAAAATTCGAGTCTGTTGGCTCATTGATCGTCGCTTTCTTCTTGATTAGCGGAGGCTTTGGAATTGGTGAATATCCTGAACGGCCTCTTTCTCAAGCCCATTCTTCCAACGGAAAGAACCTAGAAGATTACTGACCTAATCTCATTGACAACATGACAGGATTACATTCCTACACACTGATACTGCCGATCCTATCGCGCCAGTTCCCAGGCCTAGCCTCGCATCTGCCCACCTTTACATCTGACCATGGACACGACCACGAGGTGGATATCCGGGCTAGTTATTTCGCCTTCCTGAGCATCATCGTCAAGGAGAGCCTCTATCGAATCACGTATCAAGTCGGAAAAGCGGAAGACTCGAAGGTGCTTATTGCTAATGCTCTCCATCATCGAAGCGATGCGTTTAGTAGCTTTGTGGCTCTTCTTGCAATCGTCAGTTTCCATCATCTCTCTCTTAAAACAAATTCCATCCGCTACAAGTTATCCTGATTATTCATCTCCTATTGGACAATCCGACAAAAAAAAATAGATAGGAAGTTGGTATGGTTTGACGATTCTTGATCCGATCGGTGGATTTATAGTATGTTCGATGATCCTACGGAGCGGATTAGCGATAGGCAAGAGTTCATTGGAAGAGTTACTAGACAAGCGAACGGACAAGTATCTGGACCGCGATGTGGAGAACATTCTGCTGAGCAACCTAGCGAAGCTGGAGCAAGAGAAATTCACGGTGACGGTGCAGGATGTCAAGCATCTCAAGATCGGCCCCAAGGCTCTCGTCTTCTTGCACCTCGGCTTGACCCCACCAACCAAAACCTCGAAGTCCTCTGACGACGCTATCCCTTTCTCCGAGTGGGTCGTCATTCAGCATATGCTCTCTGGTCTCATCCTTAAGGAAATCAAGAACGTTAAGGACGTCTATATTCAGTTCAAAACTCTCTAGGACTCTATATATATACGTGTTACTTATCATATCCCATAGCAAAATCCATTTTCCTGAAAACCTCATGTGGAAGTTCATCTTTTGCGCTCCATATTTTTGTATAAATCTTTTCTGATCATCTCCTGAGGTCCTTGTTATTGACTTTATATAGAATAGCAGTCTTTTTTCTCCTATCTCTCTCCATCTTTTTTTTTTCTCTCTCTTGCTCTTCGACTTGTTTTGGGTACTTATTGTTTCTGATATGGTAAAAAAGGTGTTTGGTAAATGGATTGCCTTACTAAGTGTATATTCCATTACTAGGAGCAATTTTAGATGTCATCAGGAGAAGGTATGTTAGACCCACCAAACATTATGGGAAATTGTTACAACAAATTAACAATCTTCTATTAATCATTCCTTCATTGACTCCCTTTGAAGTGGAAAGATATATCCTTCCTTCTAGAGGTTTAGTCAAGCAATCCAGACAATTAACCAATTTTAGGAGTGATCTAACTTGAGTGATCACCAAATGTTTACTGCTTCAACCATAGTCATTAAGCAAATCAAAGATTTGTCTTGACGTTGAGTAAGCAGACCAACTGGGGTTGATGGACATTTATTTTGCTTGATGATGGATCTGAAGTGGAAGGGCTGATTTTTGCAACAGTCACAGCAAAGTGTCCAGCTTGAAGTGGATGATTCTCTTTTGCCTACAAGTCTGGGGTTTAGTATGCCCTTAATCGGAGTGCCAAAACTCCAAGTTTGCTTTACAGCTCTAGTCCAAACAGTCTTATGAAGAATAAGCTTTCATTGCTGACAAAATCCATGAACCCAGGCATATGTGAGGGGAATGGAAGGCAGATGAAAATAGACATGAAGCTGTTGAAGTTTCAAATGTTCTCATCACCTGAGACTGGCTGCTACTCCCCTCAAATTTTCCCTGATGGGCCACTTGTTACCAACCCTGTTTTTGTTTTCACCAACCCAATATTTTCCCTACACCCTGTCAATGTGAGCAATGATCCATAGCTTTTGTCCAATGGTGTTAAACAATGCATTTGGCATTGACCAAAAGTGCATCAAGTTGAAGTTGACAATTGAAGTTGACAATATCTCATATTTATCAAAAGCTTCTAGTAAGATTCATCTCTGGCCCTCCAATTGAACATTGAGTTCTCAATAAAAATTTCAGTACTTTGGGCCAATCATGCAAAAAGCTTTGTCAGAAAAGTTACAAACTCTGTGAAATCTGTGACAAACAACTTGAACTGTTTACCCTCAGCTTCAGATATTGGATCAAATTTCAAGACTAATCATTAACCAGAAAGTCATGTAAGTCCTTCATGTAGCTTACACAAGGCAATACAAAAGACTGATCTATCCTTTTTTTGTGCGGACAATTGGTCTTTCAGGAAGCCCAAGTCTGTGCAACCTATAGAAAAACTTAGTTTAATCGGGATTTCATTGAAGAATTTTCAACTTGCACCCATCTCAAAATCCATGACAAAGAATTGAGTTAAGTTCAGATATTCTTGAAAAATCAGACTGTGGAAGAGAGATTAACCATTGCAAAAACTCTCAGATTTTCTTTGATCACATGGATGATGAAAAAAGGAGGAGGACAGATGTTTAACTTGCTTTGAAGATCTGGAGGAAGAGTTAATACACTGGTCAAAATAGTGAAACCATACATTTCATTTGACATGTGAAAATCAGTAATTTCTATTGTGTGAAAAATGCAACCATGGGAAAAGCAATTAAATAAAGACTGTACAGCCTGCAGTGGCAGTGCATGCAGTTGGGAAATAAAACCAAAATATGTAATGTATGTGGTGCAGATAAAGAGGTGTGGGAAATTATGTGAATGCCATGATCTGTGCATAAGCATAACTGGGAGGTGACTTGAGGTTTGTGACATGTGTTTGACTGATTTTTGGCCTTGTGATATGTGTCTGTAGGGGTGTAACTTCTAATTTGTAAGGGTTCCAACAACACTGGGCCGCTACGCTAAAGGGCCACTTAGCGTTAGCGTAGCGGCGCTGAAACAGGCCTTTTTTTCTGTAGTGTTAGCGTGCCGCTACCGCCGCTACGCTACGCTACGCTGTAGCCCCGCTAACAGGCGGCTTGTTTCTGGGTAGTGTTAGCGCATTGCTACAGCCGCTACGCTGCGTTACGCTGCGCTACAGCGCTTTTAGCGGCAAAAAAGGCAAAAAACCCGCTAAAAAGCGCTGTAGCGCGGCGTAGCAGGCACTTTTTTGTGCCCTGAGCGCGTAGCGTTAGCGCAATTCCAATTTTCTGCGCTAACGCTACGCTAACAGCTAATGCACTTTTGTGCCCTTTGCGCGTAGCATTAGCCCAGAAAGGTGGATTTTTCGCTAACGCTACGCTACAAAGTAACACATTTCCGCTGCGCTACGCCATGCTAATGCTACGGTTAGCGTAGCTGGCCCAGCGTTGGTTCCAATGACATGTCCAGAGGTGACCAAGGGTGGAATGGTCTGTAGAATCCATTTCTGAAGGTGTAATGTGTGATTTCTGAAGAAGAAAAATGTATAGAAAAAAAAACTGTCAATTTTCACATATTCAATTGTCACAGCAGGGACAATTTCCAACTTGAAAAATGGAAATTGGCCTCAAAAAATTGGGGCTGTGGTACAGGCCCTGAGGCCCCAATGATAACCACATATTTGAAATTTTTTTGAATTTATTTCAAAAGTTTTTTTTTTTTGAATTCAATCTCAAAAGATAAGTCTGATAATTTTATTTCAAAGGTCTTCAAATTGGCTTGGAGGGCTGATATGAGTTTGAATTTTTTGAAATTTCTAACAGTTCTCATCTTTTGTAACAGCCAAGAGGTCTGTGTATGGGTCTGTGTACTAGGATACATGCTGAAGAACCCTTGTGCTGAAACACCCATCCCCACCCTTACAAAGCGGCCAATAGTGGCACTCTGCTGTCCTACCTTGAATTCAGCTTTGCTCCTTTCCCCAGTCCCCCGGTTGGAGTACTTAGCAGAGAAGTCTGCAAGCATCATAACCACTAGGGACTTGTGGGAAAATAAGAGCTTGGGTTTATGATTACGCAATGTTATTGAATCAGTTTTGGAAACTGATTGGGCTATCAATTTGCTCAAAAAAGCAGACCAAAAACTTCAAAACACTTTCAAAACAATTTCAAAAGAATTTCAAAAGTCTCTTTATAATTGCTGCCTAAGAATGAAGAGCCTGAGCTTGAAATTCCATTTTTTTTTCACAGACCTTAGTGGAATCATCAATCTACCACATGGGGTCTCCGGGGAAGCGCCTGGTTTATTCCCCGGCCAAAATTCTGGAAGAGTCTTCTATAAATTTTTGATTCCTTCCAACGCGTTGCCACTCTAATTTGCATAGAATAAAAATTGATTCTGCTTGGGATGCACCGCAGAAAGTTAAAGGAAAATTGTTCTCTTAGTATTGCTTGATAAAATCAAACAAAACAAGAAATCTTGTAAGTAATTTTAGTTAAAGATGTTAAGTTTGAGCAAAGACATTGGCAGCCTGGATAGCATTCTGAGTAGCAGTCAAGAACAATGTGTTCCAAGTGATAAACCAAGCTTTGAAATAAATCAGAGCTGAAACACCATCGATGTCTGGGAATAAAGGTGTCATGTAAAGGTCAGCAAGAGACACATAAGATTGAAAGTAATTGGAGAGGGCTTGGATATCTTGAATGAGGGAGGAACTAGTGTCGGCTGGTGGATTGAGATGTGCATCTTCCAAACGGCACACCAAGCGCATAACGGATTCTCCACATCCTTCGGATGATTTTTGTAATGAATACATTTGATGAGAACACATTTCTGTGAATAATGGTACCTGTTTGCTTTCATCCAATCCCTCTCGTAATAATTTGTCGAAGAAAAGCTTAGACAATTTGATGATTGGTATTATTGATCTAGCGAGCTGGATGGCTGCCTGGCTCATGGGAGGGTCGGCTTCTGGATGAGTCAATCTGAAATACTCTTCGTGCGCCTCGTAAGTGTCTCTTATTGGAATTTCCCAAAGATCCGGGATAATGTGTAATTCAGAGCCTTCCAGCCATTTGATGGTTTGATTGAATGCGGAATCGAAGAAAGATAGACCACCTGTGGAGGTTGGAAACCTCTTCCTTGCTGGGAGCTTGAGTTCTTCAATAATCCCACGGCAGCTACCAAGAAAATTGATGATGCTAAATTCTAAACGATCTCTGATGCAGTCGTCGAGGCCGTATAATCGATAGGTTTTGAACTCTTCAAAGTGCTGATCATTTGTTTGGCTGGGTTCGGCTATTTTTCCGGGAATGATTTCATCAATCATTCGACTGATTTGATCCACAATCTGATGAAGATTCGGTTGGAGTTCTAGAACACGCTGTATTTTGGGTGCCGGGTCTCTGCGCAATTCAATGAGGTCATCCAGAGTTTCTGCGATGCTGTAGAGATGTTGCTGTAGTAGCGGTAGCAGGCTCGAGTGCAACTGAGTGTGGATGTCCTTCTTCGAACGCAGTCGGCCGATCGAGAGATCTGCTGGAGTAACGCGTGTGAATGTACTAGGCCAGTGAAACAGGTGCGCGGATAACAGTTCGAAGCCCTTGATGGCCAAGTCTATCATGCAGAGGTTTTTGGGAGTCAGTTGCTGCTTTCGCGAAGGTTCGGGCATCATCATTCTTCGATAGATTTTCTTGCCTTGCGTACCTCCTTGCTTCCAATCAAACTGCTTCATTTCCGGCGTGTCGGGTTCGGGCGAGTCCACGAGTCCATGGTACCATGCCTCCAATTGGCCGGCATCTGGGTCGTTCATTTTCTTGCGAGCTTTGTCGATATTTGGCCAACCTCGAAGAGCCTGATGTCGGCCTAGCCTCATAAAAAAACAGTCTCCCACCCGGGGCCTCCGCGGGGAAAGAAGCCCCTGGCCGATTCCCTGGCCAAAATTCTGGAGGAGTCTTCTATAAATTTTCCATTCCGGAATCCGCATGCATCTTGGGAGTTCCAATAGCGGGGTTCACGATAAGCTTTTTGCTTCCTGAACCCCGCTTAAATTCTTCCTGGATCCGGAAATTCTGAGCTCAAATTTAGCCTTAAATTAAGCTCAGAATTCCGACTCAGGAACCCCTAAGGCTTCCTGAGCTCAGGAAGCCTTAGGGGTTCCTGAGCTCAGGAAGGCAAATTTAGCCTTAAATCAATGGCTGTCGTATCGCTGTGCGCGGCTCCGGCAACTTGAGACGGAAATTGATCAACAAGTCAACCTCAACTCCAACCCAACTGGTTCAAACCTCTCCGATACACTTCTCAAACTCAACCCGTCAAATATCGATTTCTGTCCATCCAGAGGCAACCGTGTTGGTTGTTGTCTCAATTTTTTTTTTTAATTTTTTAACTGACTAACCGACCGATTTGTTTTTCTTTCATTATTCCCAGATCATGGATATCCCACTGGCATCGGCTCAAGATGAATCGACCGAACCAAAACGACGTCGAACGAAACCTGAGATGATTATCCATCGAGCAGAACTAGCTAAGAAGAAAGAGGCATTGGAAGCAGCCAAATTACTTAAGAAGAAGCCTCATCCAAAAGCCGTAAAGACTGCCGCTGGAACCTCTGGATCGAAGTCAACTAAGCCAACTGGGGCTGCGGATAACAATCCTCAGTTCATCGCCTCTGACTTTGAACTCATATGTACTTATCTTGAAGATCCGCATCACTACACAGAGATCTACGGAAACGGACCTCGAACAGGGGTGGGACAGCAAGTCATGACGAAATCAGCAGCTTACGACCGATTTGCAATATTTATGAATGATAAAACTCACAAGCGACTGCATTTGGACGGCAAGCTTCTTCGACAGCGTATTGAGGCCTACAAGAAGAGGTTTGTAGCTGCCAAGAGATGGGCCGACAACACCGGTGCGGGGATTGAAGAGGGGGAGGATATCGTTTCGATTGACGTACTCCTAGAAGGGAAATGCCCTTGCTACGAACGAATGTCAGCCCTCTTCGGTGAGAAGCCTAATGTCACCCCTGCGGCCCAGTACGAGTCCCAACAAGGAATGTCGCTTTACAATCGGCCGGTTGATAACGACAATCCAGACAATCCGAGCAATCCTGAAATGTTTTACCCCGGCTGGGAACCAACACAGGAGGTACTGGACCAGACGACCCATGTGAACGAATCACCCGATCTGGCAACCTCTGGGCAAGCAAATCAGACCTCTGGAGTGGATCAGTCCAACGACAATCCAGACTTGCCTGATAGCCTCTTGGACGCTCCACCAAGTCACCAACCTACTCCTCCTCTCGATTCAGCCCCCGTTTCTGCGATGCCCTCGACGTCGGCCACCCCAGGTCATCAGCTTGGCTCGTCTCAGCCCCGCCGTACGATGGCGTCTATGCTTGCCGACCTCCGAGCGAACATTTCAAGGGAGGAAGAAGATGAAGTTGACGATGCTGAACCGTCGGGTTCAGCTGCGCCTCGTGGACGATTCGTCAATCAAGTTGATCGATCGATCCCTGCCCCGAGGAGGGAAACAAACAATCCCAAGGGCAAATCAACAGTCGCTGCTGCCTTTGGATCATCGTCTGACAAGAAGTTTGCTTACCTTGATAAGCACATGGAGATGGAGAAAGAGAAGTTTGAGTGGGAAAAATCTAAGTACAAAAGCGAGCAAGGTGACATAACCACCCGAGAAAATGCTAAGATGCGCGCGGCCGAAAAATGGATTAGCCAGGGGAAGAGTCCTTCAGACATTGAGATCCTCATGAGAACTGTCTTCTAAGATGCTTCACATTTCAATTTTCAATTGTTTCACTTCTACGTATCTCAATCGATCAATCAAACATCTATAATGATCGATCTCATCTCCTGTTCCTCATTAAATTCACTGTGTAAGACTCAAAGCAAAAACTTGTACTCCATTTAGGTCTATGGATAAATTAACATCATTACCGCTCACAAAAGCTAGATCTACAATGATGATGAGATAGGAAAACTGAGAAAAAAATAATCGGAGTCACTTGGATACAACACAGGGGGTGATTTTCAGTGTGATGGAATAGGTAATGTACCAACTAAATGATTGAAGAGCAAGCACTTTTCTTGAATCTCTTCGCGGTGGCCCTCAGTATTATTTTCATGATTTCCTTCTGAATCACCTGGCTCATCGTTATCATTTGGGGTCGCAAGTTCGTCCCAAGAGTCGCCGAGGTGCGCCAGCATATTGTGTAGAGCCACACAACAGTTGATCCAGCGGATTATCTCAACCATGTGCTGGGGTGTATACAAGGATAACCGAAGCTGCTGAAGGGAGGCCCACCGGCCCTTGAGAATCCCAATTGTGTGCTCGTTGCGTACTCGAGATTTGGCTAAACAATAATTGAATTCTGTGTTTCGATTTATCTTTGAGAGTGGCGATTTATATGCTGGGATCGTTGTCATCGATAGTGCGTAAGCCGAGTCTGCAATAAGATATTGACCTGGACAACCAAGCAGAAATCAATCAGACAGGAAAATGAAATGATAATTGATTCAAAAAGACAGACATTCTACATACCAGGGTCGAAAAACCTATCGGGTTCCAAATGAACCTTCATGTTCTTGAAAACTAAGCTATCACCACATGTTCCTGGCCACCCGGTCATGAACGAGGTGATGAATCTATCACAATCGCATATCACTTGACAGTTGATCGAATACTGCTTCTTGCGATCCCAATATACCTCACCATCAAGACCGGGTCGTTGGTGTAAGGGAATTGTTGTGCCGTCCACAAAGCCGATGCATCCTTCGAATCCTTCTTCTGTCATCACTTCCGATATCTCAGCTCGTCGCTCTTTATTAGGCCAAACAATGTAGTTGGTCGATACTTCATTAATTGCTTGAATAACGCGCCGGCTGACTTTAATGACTGTACCCCGCCCGACGCTGAGATTACGTGAGAAACGTCCAACCGAAGCACCGTTCCCGTTAGATCCAAGTCGTTCGAGTGTAAGGGCCAATTGATGGGGAATGGGGAGCTGAGGCCGAGGGCTATTGCTGTAAAATATAGGATGGTGACGGATTCGATCAAGCAGCCAAAGGAATCCGTCTTTGGTGGTTCTGACAGCTTGTTTGAAGTCGTTATCGCGCATGTCAAAAAGCTTGGCTAGGTCGTAATCGTCGTGGGTTGTTGGTGTGGTACGCAAGCTCAAATATCGATGTGAAAGTAACTCCTCGAGAATTTCGGCGACTTCTGCTTCGTCATCAAAAAACATCTCCCAGATAAATTGTAAGCTGGGTTTGCCGGGAAAGAGAATCGCACCAAAGCTGGGGATCGATGGGAGTTTCATGACGCCATCGAGAATTGCTTCGGTTGCCTCGTTGTGATGGTACGCCATGATGAGGAAGACCTCCCTGATGAGTTGTTGGCGTTCACTGAGCCCTCGCATACTGATTTTTGAGTAGATTGTTGTGGCAGGCAGGAAATACCGTTTCCATTGGGGGGGGTGGCCTTGAATTTTGCTGGATCCTTTAACCAGCTAGCTTAATTTAGGCTAAAAATTAAGCCTCCCATCGAGTGCTCACAAATAGCGGGGTTCTTAAAAATCTTCCTCAGAAAACCTTATCATGAACCCCGCTAATATTCCAAATGCACTTCAACAAAATAGTGAAGATCAGGGTGCACAACCGCCTGTAACAACATGAAAAGAAATCTTTTGCCTCTATCAGTCTGCGATTTTGTTATCGCTACCCCGTCATGGCAAATTACAATCCTGACTACAAAGCCGTCTTGAAGGAACTCTAGGGCTTCGAGGCTATTACTACCCCGGGGACAGATGCTCCGTGGGAGGAGCTTCCGCCGCCCACACCCAGTCGAGCCCGGCCCCTGCGAATCAAAACGTGAAAGGCTTTGACTAGAGAACTCGAAGCATCATCAGGGTGAGTTATTGGAATTTTCCCTATCCTGACGAGCGCCGTTACCCCTTTGGAAGCTAAGTGTAACGATGCGTCTGTATCTTACAGTTTTATTTATCTGGTTAGGTAAATTTGTTGTTTTCGCTTATGATTCGTCATGCACATGGCTTTCTTTATTTTGTTTTCTGATGACGTATTATTTGATCGACGATTTGTATTTCCTTTTATCGATGACGTGTTCGATGATTCACGATCATCTTGATGATCCGTTGTTACTTTTATTTATATAGCTCAGTGTTGTTTATTTGTTTGTTCTCTTTTCTCTTCCTCACCTCGATATTCTATTTCATCATTAGTCATTACTTATATATTACCAAAACTTATAGTATTAAAACTAAATCAAGTTATTATTAAAAGAATTATAATCTTGTTTCTCATAGCGATCGCCAGAGAAATTCAGATTCTTAAACTATCTTCTCTTAGCTTCAGGCGAGATTACCTCTTGGTAATCTTCATAGTCTTTATTAGTTAGAGAAATAGGTTGAGCCTCACAGTTATATCGAGGTCTTTATTTCATAGTTATATCTATAAAAAACTTTGAAAATTTTTTTGCCAACCTCATGTCGGACGATAATTCTCAACCATCTCCGATCACTCCTATTGGAGTTTCGCTTCCCAACTCTCCTTCCCCTTCTGCTATAAATTTTTCTTCCCGACGATTACCGGTCCCGACATCGACTTCAGTCCCGGCTCCTTTCTTCACTATCAATACTCCTTCTCCCATCCCTCAATCAATGTTGGATTTTTCTCCTCGACCAATTGCCAGTCCGATTTTACCGGATTCCCTTCCTTTGAATCAACCTGCTCCGTCTCGATCGCGACCATTTCACTCTCAATCCCGACCTGCGACTTTCACTGACAATGATGTATCGGCTCTTCTGTCG